GAAGAAAATCGAACGGCTACTTCTCCAAATGCCATGGTTGTTAATCTTTTCAGATAGCTTTCATACTGTGAAAACATGAAGGTAAACGGCCGACCTCGATCTTTTGCTATTGCCCGGTTTTTTCTGACAATAACACTTAAAATGTTTAGCATAATACTATTAAAACGTTTGATTTCTGCACACTTCAGTGATACAATTATCACTGATTCTTTTTGTACAATGAATACTGATGACCAAATACAAACTTAGGTCCTAAAAGTTCTACGATCTGCAACTGTTCTATTTATAAAACAGCCTGTCAACTGACTGTAATTAATTTTCTAATATAAGTACAGCTCCAGTTATAGACACTTTTTTTGTCTGGAGGGTGTGCACGGACGAAACTCTCCACTGTAATCTGAATATGTAAACTTTCTTTCAAGAAATTGCTCGTTATGAACAATAGGAAAACCAATTATGTGTGGAAGACAGACGAAATCGATGGTATGTATGTCAATTTCTTGCCAATTTGGGGTGCTTCTTATTTTCACAGTGTTTTCGGGCAGGTGCTTTCTCTTCTCTCTCCCCGCCCCCTCTCTTTGACTTACCCCGTTTCCTCCTCTTCTTGGGAGTTTCAACATGCCACTTTCACAAGTAAAGTTTTTTTTTTTAAATCTAGATAAAGTGTAAAATGACCACATGCCTCATATTAAAACACAAAAAATTCCTCTAGAAAAGTGAGGGGAGGGTCCACTGTCCCTGATTGAAACTGCAGGATAAAGAAATAAATCTAAAGAAGATCATTGCAGTTAATTATGCTATTCAGCAGCTGCGAAAAGATAGCCTAAAAAAGAAAAACCTTTAAATATTGATACCCTTCTGGTTCTTGTTGGAGACGGTTTGATGGTTAAAGTTTTATTACCTTTATGGTTAGTAATTTATTACATTTATAGTAGGTATTACATTTATGGCTGACTTTTATTACATTTATGGTCAGCATTACATTTATGGGTGATACAACCATGGACAACAATCCTCCACCTTGAATGTAACAAGATTTATTAATACTGCTTAGAAATAAGAAAAGGGTAGTTTCCATGTATCATTAAACTTCTTTGTACAGAAGCAACCAGAATTAAGAATTCTAAGTCAAATTCCTTCTTGAAGATGGGTGTTGTTATCCACATTTTCATTTATCCCCTTCATGTTGTATTTACCAGTTTCATATAACTTAACTAGCTTGTGAGTGAAACAAGCACACGTGGAGGAAAGGAAAATAAAGGAGGTGCAAAGCATCAGAGCCCATGTACCTTTTTAACTTTTCCGTTTCCTACTCATTTGTAGCTGTTACTGAAATATATATATTTATTTTTAAAATGTTCATTTCTTCTTGCCTTACAGCAGTATGTTCTATGTAGTTAGGGACTGTTTTGAAGAAAAATTTAAGGACAGCCCTATCTCTCCACAATGTCCCTTGTTGGGGACAGAAGAAAGTGGCCATTGTGGAGAAGTTGCTGTTAGGTTTGACTGTAAGTTAAAATAAACTTGAACTTATGTGTTTCAATACCTTTTTTCCAAAATAATAATATCCTCACCTAATCAGCTTGTTGTTTCCATCGATATGCCACAAAGCCAGTGATGCAGGTACCCAGTACTGGCGGCAGTGTATAGAAGCCCTCCATTTTTGGTAAACACCAGTGGGGTCAGTTCTCAGAAGTGATTGACGCACTCTTTCCCACTGAACCCTATAACCTTGACTATGCAGATACCCCATCAGCACTCTCAATCCAATTCCATTATGCGCACCTTAGGCCTTTCTTACTAGATTGTCGAGCTGGCCATCACTGATGTTACTGTAAGGGCCTAAAACCAATACACAATGATTTAGATATTGTGACTACAGAAAACCAGTAATAACATAGTTAAAAAACAACCTTGATTACCAAATGACAGAAATTCTCATTTTAATGTCACGGCAAGAACATTTCATACCTGATACCAACAGGGCCGTGTGCAGCCATTCTTCTCTCTATGGTGCATGTTGGTCCACAAAAATGTTGTGTGATGCTGGATACTTTAAATCCTTCTTCCAGAAGAAATGATAGCTGTTCTTGTTTAATTTCAATCGGCAGTCGACCACGACGTTGGGTTGATACCTGGGGGGCAAAATTCACAGCGTCAAATTTAAGAGTCGAAGATTGTACTTCTTTTGTCATACAGCTAATGGCATCAGCGATTCAAATTCATCTGTCTGGGCTGTCCAAGTTAGCAAGGGAGCGGTTCAAATATTCTAATCGCAGAATTAAACCATCCATCTCTGACAGGTCGTTCAAACTTCCTAATCTTGCTATTGTTTGTTCAACTACATTCAACTACATAAACCAATCAACGAGTTGTAGTGAAGTCTTTCAGTGGAGCCACGACACAAGACATGAAGTCTTATATCCAGCCAACAATAGATAATGCTCCAGATAGGATTTGTTTACATATCGGGACAAATGATTTAAAATCCAAGGCACCG